ACTTATAAATGAAACATTTTTCCTTTCACCTCATGCATTTGAAACTCCCACACATTTTCACCTTCAAAGTAATTAATCACACATTACACACTTTATATAACTGAAATTTTGACGCTATGAATGGAACTATGGATGGAGAATTTAGAGCATGGCATGAAGGAATTATTGATTTTTTTCTTATGTACTTATAAATATGCTCCCAATTCTGATAAAATTTGGCAAGAATGATGAAACAAAACCTGCTCCTACATGGTAATTAAATCTTTTTGTATCATTTATTTATACCTTCTACTTTATTAGTTTGCTCCTGATGCATGGTAATTAAATCGCTTTATATCATTCATTTCATAACTTCAACTCCTTTAGTTTGTATAATTTCAAATACTCTAAACGGATTATGAATATATGGCAGGTGTGATTGGATATAATGGACTGGTGATGAACTAAACTATACTTATAAAGGAGACATTTTTCCAATCACCTCATGCATTTGAAACCCCATACAAATTTCCAAACACCTCATGCATTTGAAACCCCCACACATTTTCACCTTCAAAGTAATTAATCACACATTACACACTTTATATAACTGAAATTTTGAAGCTATGAATGGAACTATGGATGGTGAATTTAGAACATGACATGAATGAATTATTGATTTTTGTCTTATGTACTTATAAATATGCTCCCAATTCTAATGAAAATTTGGCAAGAGTGATGAAACAAAACCTGCTCCTGCATGGCAATTAAATCTTTTTATATCATTTATTTATACCTTCTACTTCATTAGTTAGCTCCTGCTGCATGGTAATTAAATCCTTTTATATCATTCATTTCATAACTTCAACTCCTTTAGCTTGTATAATTTCAAATACTCTAAACGAATTATGAATATATGGCAGGTGTGATTGGATAATATGGACTGGTGATGAACTAAAGCAGATACTATACCCTAGAAATGAATCCAAGTTGTCCGATCATCAGCCGGTGAAGGCGATATTTTCTAACGAAGTTAAAGTCTCAAGATAGAATATCAAAACCTTTGCATTTCAGATAGGTTTTCATAACTATATTTGTTCCAAACTTACTAAAGAATGCAAGAACAAGAGGTCTACCCACAATTCTTGAAGAATATGAAACTACAATAATGAAAGAAGATTTAAAACCTTTAAAAATGAATGAGAAACTCCAGCATAGAGATTTAATGGCGGAAATTCAGAAGTTCTACAAAAGCTACAATGAAAAAAATGCGAAAATTAGATGTCTTGAATTACCAAACATTACAGGCAATAAGTAAGTTCTCTAATCCTATCATCATTTTCATCAAGAACATGTTTATAAATATTAAATTCTAATTTTATTTCCAACTTCAACAACAAAATATTATTCTTCCACGATGCTAATTAACTCATAAGAACTATGTCTTTTAAATTGCTAGCAACTGGAACCACGAACACACCATGCTTAGTTGGCGTTGATCGGAAGCCAATTGATCCATTTGAAACTCCAGTCACAATTACCAGCCTCAAAATTCGAGATTAACAATCGACGACATCTCACAAAAAAAGATACTAGAGAGTAGAGACATCAGCCTTCCATATTCGCTTATTCGGATCAGAACCCAACTTCACAGAACCAGGAAGCTCATTTAAATGCTCCAAAGCATTGGTCTCTCTTCCTCTTCTAGGATGACACTTCCATTCCCATAGGCCAACAACATCTCATTCTTCATCACCTGATACATATAATCCACAGTAAGCTCACCAAATCACTTTCAACAACTTAATTCAAACGACCTTTATTTGGGTTATTATTGTTTAATTAAATACAACAAATAAAATGGATGATGTTTCTTAAGATTCATAAACATCACATGTTAATCAAAAGAAACCTAATAAATAAAAAATCATATGAAATTTAACCAACTAATGTTGTATTGACTTATTATTGGGTTAATGTGTAGAAATTATTGCGTTATAGTGGTTTCTCCCCTTCTAACAACCCATAAATTTAAAATTAAAAAAAATAATAAACTAAAAACAAAAACTGGGTGGAGGAGATGATGCGACAGAAAGGGGAAAAACATGGAATTGGCAAGGAACACTCCAACAATGCATCCTCTTAAATCCAGACCTGGGACCCCTACGAATACCCGACTTTTGTCAAAATCATCAAAATCATGAGCAAACGACATCCGGATCTTATTCAATGATTTCAATTACCTGTAACCATAGCTTATTGTAGCCACCTCCGAATTCTTTTTAGGGTTCTCAGGCCCACAACAATATACAACTCCGGAGAGAATAGATTATTGAATGTGAAACGTAGATACGTGGAGATCGACGTTCATGAAATTGAAGGAGGGAAGATAAGGAGTATATGGTATTTGAAGGGGAGGTTGGAAAGAATGTGTCGTAGTTGACTACCCTCCTCCGTTTCACATTTTAATAATTTTTAAAAAATATGATTCAACACATGTAGGTTTACTTAAAAAACTAAACGCATACGACCACAAATGAGACCCCATATTTAGTCAATTATCGAATAATTACATTAGATACTAATGTGTACATAAACATTACATTTACAATTTTCAACTAATAATAATTTTTCATTATTTATTAGTATAAATTATTTATAAATCAAAAAATATACATACTATTTAATCGCATACAATCTTTATGTACAACCTATTCACAACAGATTAAACCATATCAATTATAATGTAATAATTTTGTTAATTGCATTATGTAGTATCTTATTTGTTTTAAAATCATAACTTCTCGATTAACCATATTCTTAAAAAGAATGTTAACTATTTATTATTATTATTATTATTATTATTATTATAACCATATTAAACTATATAATTATTTTACTGCGCAACGCGCGGTCATTCGTCTAGTATAACTATATAAGAGACATTTTTACTTGCACCACATTCATTTGAAACCTTCATGACTTTTCAATTTCTTTCAAATAATTATTATAAATTGGTTAATAGTGTTAAATTAATGTAAAAACTAAATTCTAATCATAAACTAACTAAACTACAATATTAAAATATCATATTTGACTTCTATTTATAAAAGTATGACTTTAAATTTTTAACATATTATAGTTAACTTATTAGTTTAAATATGTTGTCGTATATGAGCAATTGTCATTTTAAAGTCACAACTTCGGTATAATTTATGATTTTATGCAAAATATTTAAATTATTAATTGTAATATAATGTTAAACGGTTAACTTAAATCAAAATTTCAGTTAAACTTGAAAAAAAAAATCGAGAGTTTATTTTATAAATAGTTAAAAGTTATAAACTATAGTGTTAAACCTAAATTGTAATCCTAGATTAACAAAAAAAAAACCATGAAAGTATTTTTTATAATCATTAAAAAATTTCAAATAAGTAGCTTAAAAATAACTTACAATAAGAATAGTTAAAAGTAAAATGTTATTTTTAAATACAAAAACAATGTTTGTTGTTTTAAATAATTACAATAAAAGAAACTAACAATATTCATCAAATAAATTTTAAAAAAGTTAAATTTCTGAAACCAAATTAAAATAATTAAGAGTTTCCAAATACGGTATTTTAAATAACTTATAACAACAATAGTTAAAAATAACATTATATACAAAAATTATATTGATACCTTTAAAAACAAAAACAATGTTTGATGCTTTAATTAACTACAATGATATAAATTAAAATTTTAAACAAATAAATTTTTTAAAATTAATTAATCATAACAACAACTATAAATATCATTAAACTACAAATTATATTTAATTTTATTCATGAGTAATCTGCAGGTAGAGGCCATTGAGACAACTGAGATTATAGAATTTAAAAAATGTCTACATTATTATATAATTCAAAACAAACAATCTTTATACCAACTTACTATAAGATTTATTATATAAGAGCTAACAAAAACGTCATTGATATATTTAAAAACATATATTTGTAAATATTTCAAATATATTGTTGTATTCTGCGCAACACGCAAGTATTCGCCTACTATTTATCTATCTATATCTATATCTACCTATATCTATGTCTATATCTATATATACTTACTAGTTTATAACT